CCCAACCCCAAACCCAACCCCAACCCCAACCCCAACCCCAAACCCAACCCAACCCCAAACCCTGAATAGGCCACCCTATTCGAGGGCTCCCTGTCCATACAAGACCCTTCTATGAGCATTATTTACTCATATGACAGACCGAAGTCATAGTCTCATAGACTTCATTCAAACCCTTTTGGGGGACTGAAAAATTCATCTTAATTTTATTTTTTTTTTACTTAAATATTTCTTCTGAATCATTTTGAGATATTTTTTATAAATCAAGTATGATAAGGAAGTAAATTCGATTCAATAGAGCTAAAAAATGAGATTGAGAAATTCTTAAAAAATAAATAAAAGATTATAAATAATTCTTTAAATTGTTTAAACATCAGATAATTTTAAGGAAATTAAAGTTTAACTAAAAGTAAATACAAACAAAAATTGATTTTTTTTTTAAATCTAACAACATTTTATTATTTTAAGAAATTTAATATACTCATTAGACTTTGAGTATAATAAGACTCTTAATACATTAATACAATTTTATTAATTTATCTTTTTTAGTTAAAAAAATTATTAATTCTATAAATTATTAAAATTTTTAAATTAAAAATTAGCTTATCCCATTTTTCAAAATTAAAGAATATTTAAAATATTAATATTTAATTCGATAATCAAAAATATAAAATAATTATTGTATTAAACTAATTTATATCGCAACTTTTAAATAATTCTTAACAAAGCTATTAATATAATGATCTTTAATTCTAATCTTAATGATCAATCTAACTGTTAAAATAAAAAATAAATCTATTCCAAACTAATTAATTTAATAACATTTTTTTAAATTACTGAGAATGCATTTATATCAATTAAACATACCTATTTAAAATATTGATATTATTCAATTCTAAAAGACTATAAACAGTTCTTAACAATTTTTCTAAATTTTATACTATTTATAATTAATAAGATAAATATATTTATTATATTATATATTTTTTAATCTCTCTATATAATGAGAAAAAGAAAAATCTAAGCAAATTGCAATTAAACCTAAAAAGGATATATTAATTCTATTTAAATTCAAAAATATTTATCAAATTTATATTCAATTAAAAAATTGAGTTAAATCTTATTTATTTTTTGATTTTTAAATGCATTTATGTATTATATAGACTTACCATAAATCGACTTACAACAATAATCCTAACTCAAAATACAGAATTATGATATTATTCTCATAATAAGCAGTAACTAATCTGTAATGCATTTAAATGATTAAGGTATTATTGGAGTAGAATGAACAAGAATATAGATATTCAGGAGTCATATAGTTGAAATACTATAATTGAACTTGATTGTAATGTTGAATGACTTTAAGTAATAATCTTAAAGACAGTAGTGTTGAAAGAAAAGGAAATAACGAAAAACTTGGAGTAAAATAATAAATTAAAGAGATTTTCGACATTCATTTAATTAAGAAAAATGAATTTGAGAGTTTTTTATTTAAAGATGATTATATAGTCATACTATTAAGAAAAATTCAAGCATTTTTTTCAAATTAATAATTTTCTTTATCTAACTTTGAATATTTTACAATAATATATCTGTCAAAATTCACAAATTATCTATTCATTTTGATATTTTTTAAATTTATTAAATACTTCTTCTATATTATAATAATTCCTCTTAAATTATTAACATTAATTGCATAACCAAAATACTATAATAATAAAGTTTATTTTTTGCAACAAAATTTGTAAATCAATGATTATTTAACTTTTCATCAATTAATTATTAGACAATTTTTTGCTTTATATGATTTTAGAAAAAAATTTAATTAAACTAATTAATAGAATTATATTTAGACTATTTTAATTAATATTAACAACTGAAAAAATATTTATGAATCATATCAATAAAATATTGGCTCCAGTTGTTATACGGGTTTCTTAACACTAATCCCAATAAATTTCATTAGCTTTCTTATTTAAGGCTAATTTGACTTGTTTTATTTTACTATATTATATTAAATCAAGTANTTTAATTCGATAATCAAAAATATAAAATAATTATTGTATTAAACTAATTTATATCGCAACTTTTAAATAATTCTTAACAAAGCTATTAATATAATGATCTTTAATTCTAATCTTAATGATCAATCTAACTGTTAAAATAAAAAATAAATCTATTCCAAACTAATTAATTTAATAACATTTTTTTAAATTACTGAGAATGCATTTATATCAATTAAACATACCTATTTAAAATATTGATATTATTCAATTCTAAAAGACTATAAACAGTTCTTAACAATTTTTCTAAATTTTATACTATTTATAATTAATAAGATAAATATATTTATTATATTATATATTTTTTAATCTCTCTATATAATGAGAAAAAGAAAAATCTAAGCAAATTGCAATTAAACCTAAAAAGGATATATTAATTCTATTTAAATTCAAAAATATTTATCAAATTTATATTCAATTAAAAAATTGAGTTAAATCTTATTTATTTTTTGATTTTTAAATGCATTTATGTATTATATAGACTTACCATAAATCGACTTACAACAATAATCCTAACTCAAAATACAGAATTATGATATTATTCTCATAATAAGCAGTAACTAATCTGTAATGCATTTAAATGATTAAGGTATTATTGGAGTAGAATGAACAAGAATATAGATATTCAGGAGTCATATAGTTGAAATACTATAATTGAACTTGATTGTAATGTTGAATGACTTTAAGTAATAATCTTAAAGACAGTAGTGTTGAAAGAAAAGGAAATAACGAAAAACTTGGAGTAAAATAATAAATTAAAGAGATTTTCGACATTCATTTAATTAAGAAAAATGAATTTGAGAGTTTTTTATTTAAAGATGACTATTCATTTAATATTTCAAAATTTATTTAATACTTCTTCTATATTATAATAATTCCTCATAAATTATTAATATTTATTGCATAACAAAAATACTATTATATTAAAGTTTATTTTTTGCAACAAAATTTGTAAATTAATGAGAATTTTACTTTTCATCAATTATTAGTTTCTTTTTACTTTTTATGATTTTAGAAAAGAATTTAATTAAACTAATTAATAGAATTATATTTAGACAATTTTAAATAATATTAACAACTGAAA